TGGGGTATAAATTTGTGAAGTTGTGTCGTGTTGTGTCTGGATTTCTTTTATGTTTGAGATATTAAAGAAGAGATTGTCAGAAACTATCAATTTATAAGATTGCTTTGTGAAAGGAGATTTTTAGAAGGAATATGAACTTATGCCTGTTTATATTTGTTAAAATCCTTTTTTTGGTCCTACTTTATCAAAAAATCCCTTTTTAGTCTTTTTACTAAAAAAAAAATTCTTTTTTAGTTTCTAAAATTTAAAATCTAGTCTTTTTTTGTTCTCTCCATTAAACGTTTTGACATGTAATAGTCAATTAATAGAATTATGTGATGTGAAAAATTCACTTTGTATATAAAAAAAATGATGTGAACATATTTTTAAGTTTACATCAACATTTCATATAAAAAGATTAGTTTTTTTAGTAAAAATAAATTTTTGTTTCTTAATATTTGAATTACAATATGATTAATTTTAATTATTTATTAACTAACTTTAATTATTCATTTAAGTCTCATTAGATTAGATTATTTATGTTTAATTGGATTTAGAGAAAAAAAAAAAAGAAACAATTTCTACTCTTGTCTGTTGTTCGAATAATCATTTGTAAATTTATAAATTCTCAATTATTAAAAAATCATTAGGAATGGGTTCAACCTTAGATTTGTTATTGCAGATTAAAAATTAAAATAAATAATTTTTTAAAATCACTAATATAATTTTTGTTGCAAATTATCACTTAATTTTCATATATTTTCTTGAACTTTCTAAAAAACCAAACAGCAAAACCACTTCCAGTAAAAAAAGTAAGGATGACGATGAATGTGGTGGCACAACCCATGTTTTTTTTTTTTTACAAGAGTAATAGTTAAAAGTTAGAAGTTAGATTAGTACTTTATTAATAACAAGGTTCGACCACTTAATGAAGGTGTAATCTACCGGTAATCCCGTTAAACTGCAGTGGCCACCAATGGGCCCAGCAGCCCACAATCCATGTTTGAGTACCATCTAAACAAGCAGGAAAACAAAGCCAGTTTAAATAGAAAATTTTGGGTTTTAGTCAGGAATTACATGGAAGGATTTTAACCTACAAGATTTGATTCCCTTGTCATATCCATTTCCTGTCGAAGAGAAAATGTTATAACCATTTTCCTCTACCGTCTT